TCACCCCAAACACGCACCTGACAATTAATGAAAAACACTCGCTCTCTGCTCGATCCCAATACTCTTATCAACCAAAAATGTCATCAGAGTGCTCCATAAAACTCATAAAGAGTTCATAAATTAGTGTACCTTACCACTTTTAGAAAAGGCAACGTATTTGTTCGAAAGAAAATACGAAATGGAATTTCTCTCACAAAAATTATTTTTCTTCCTACATTCGAAGAAATCTCGTTGTTTTTCTCTTCGTGTGTACAGATTTCAAACAATTTGAAAATGGGTGTCTCAAATAAATTCATAATCTGTCATTTCTGACACAAGCATACAGCTATTTTATCACAATGGCAATTTGAAAAATATGACAGATCATCATATCTCCCACTGACAGAGAATCATATCTCATTTGGTGAAAAACGTTCGCGTGATATATATTTGTAACTTTAATTTTTCTCATTTCCAGACATTGAAAGAATTTCCTGAAGAATTAAGAGGTGATGTATCAATGCATCTTCACCGAGAGATTCTGCAACTTCCGATATTCGAATCAGCCTCACAGGGGTGCCTGAAACTTCTCTCGCTTCATATCAGAACAAACTTCTGCGCTCCAGGCGAGTATTTAATCCACAAAGGAGATGCGTTGAGTTATATTTACTATATTTGTAATGGATCCATGGAGGTTGTGCAGAATAACATGGTAGTTGCTATTTTGGGTGAGTTCTTCTACCAACTTTATGAATGAAAGTTTACTTTTTCCATACACATAAATTTTTGTGGTATATTGAAATTTGGATATTATGAAATCATTGAATTCTATATTATATTGAGACCAGGAGATTACAGGATAATGTAGTTTGAAATACTAGAAACTGAAATTGACGAAATGATTTCTGGAATTGATAATACTTGTAGATAAGACAGCAAGAAACACATAAATTTAATCGATGTAACGAACTGAGTTGGTGACAATTTCTGTAGAGGTTTTAATATATGTTTCCAAAAAAGCCAAATTTTGACCAAAATATGCATATGAACAAAAATGATATCACATGTATAAGTAAATCTATCCACGTTGCAGAAAGATAACTTAAATAACTGAAGTTTGTTGCTGAACACTCTGTGAATATAGTGAATATACAGAACTAATGAGATAACGACTGAAAATAATAACCAATAACCAAGAATTTGTTACAAAAACTAATCGCTGATATCAGAAAAAAACGTCAGTTGCTTGTATCAATTTTCACTGTTTGAATTCAATCATAAATACCTAAAGAACAAAGAGGAAAATAAATGTTCACTTCGAGTTGAGCCACGAAGATGATACCACAGCCTGCTATCGAAAGCACTCGTATATAATATAATAATAATATGTTGTAATGCTACATTGAAACGCAATGTTTTTTTTTTCAAATGATATATTTTGCCAAACCTTTTAAACATGTACACCATGTTTTTGATGTATTTTGAGATACCCTGTATACATTTAGATCGCACGTTGAAACGCTGAAGTTTCAGAAAACTGTCATGTTTTTATGATGTATTTTACCATACCTTGTACGTATTGACACTATGTTTTTTTTTGAATAATGCATTTTGAGACACCCCGTATACTCCACTGAATGCCCGTTTCCGATGACATCAAAACAACCTCACCATTATCATTAATTCACAATGATGATGCCCATTGGTAGTATACTTAAAAAAATCCACACTGTAAACGTTCCTCATTAAAGTTGGGGATCGCACGTTGAAACGCTAGATTCTCGTTACCACAATTTTTCTTTCTCTAACGACATCTGTTCATCTATATCTTTTCATCTTTTCAACAATTTTCCCACAACTGGCAACACCAAACCCATGATGCCTGCGCAGGTTTTACTGGCCGCCTTATCTACGAAACGAATCACCTCGATACCATCTCCATCTCTCTCATACGTCAAACCGTCGCTCTTACACACAAACCTCTTATGAAACTTGAATTTTCTGCTGTGCTTGCAGAAGATTCCGTTCCGAGGTCTTAAAATAAAACACCATGGAAACATGGGTGTCCTAGAAACGGAATTGCCAGTTTCATGCTCTCTGCTATCACCTACTCCGCTTAATCCCGCATGACTATCATGACCTGAGTTTGATTCTCAAAATGGTTTTTTTTAATTTCAATTCTCATGAAATTTCTAGCCGACGGTGGCCACTAAGATCACGTGACTGATGCACTTTGATTAGCTGGAATCGCCTATCTGTGACTACCTGGAAAAGGTCACACCTAGTTCGAGTTGGGTGTTCCACAAGGTTCCGATTGGAGTTAGTAAAATCTACAAAATGGACCTGTTCAAATTTGCACGCGTTTTTCCATAAGGAATGGCGTAGAACTCCTATAGCTATATTACGAAATTGTTGTTCAAATTATTGAACCTACAGAATATGCACCGAAAATCAATTTCATTTTTGACATTCAACAAATGTGACAGCAAAGACTGTGACTGAGAAAATATTTACACACCACTTGGTGACCCTATATGCAATATTCCTATTTCAGAATGCGCTATAAATACATATAAAAATCAGATAATCGTTAAACTTGAGGTATAGAAAATCTTGAGCTGAGGATCGAAAAATACATTGATTCAAAGCAAACGTATAGGATTCATTTTTTGCTAAAATATTTCAGCAATATGATTCGATATTTTCTCAATTTTTTTTTCAAAATTGTCAGATGTCCAATATTTCTCACTAATATAAAAACATCAAACGATCAAAAAGACGAACTTCGAGAGGTATCAATGGAATGAAACAATCCCTTAATTCACGTGTGAGCGGCCTTTCCTATGGCTTGGTGTTTTGGACACCTACCATAGGTAGAGAATGAGCTACCTCGTCTACCTGATTTTATGCAATGGCTCAAATAAGCCGTACTTCATACTCTCGGAACGCTCGAATTTTCCCTCTCTATGGCAAGAGAGCTGTATACCGGAGATGTTTGGAAAAGTCCGAAACGCCTTAAGTATGCCACAATAATAGACTTCCTGTTTGGAATCGAGCGGCTGTTCCCAAACAGGTAGAAAGTTGTTTTGGTTAACTAGAATAACTAGATGTTTGTTATAAACCAACTGAATGACAAGTCAACATACATTGTAAACATTTATTAAATAAGAAATAAAACATAAAATTACAATGGCAAAATAACTGAGACAAAGGCCAGCAGGTACATCACCTGAACGAATACTGTCGAGACAATTATATGCTAAAATGAAAAACGTGTACGTTAACACTACCGTCGATAAATTTTACTACAAATAACAGGTACGCTATTTTACTCAATTTTGATAACTCAGGGCCAAAACGATACCAATATATAATCATTGTTCTTCAACACACCCCTGTATGAATAGGAGGGATAATGTGGCTGGTTTACCAATCATTTACAAGCATCCAATACACTTGTCCAAATTTTAGAATATCGATGTGAGAACATCAGAGAACATAATACCAATAAATCCTCAACGCCTAGACATAACAATATCAATACACGAATACACAACTTTATCGCAAAAAAAATCATGACAATGTCACATACATAAATTACTGGATTTCAATGCTATTATCGTATTTGAGACTCTGCTCACCTGTTCCCGATCATCAAACATATCAAAACATAAATAGTAATAACACATGGCCAGCAATGATCTCTTCATAAATGATTACACAAAAATCATAGTACATACACTGAATAAAACATGGTTAAAACCAAAATATCACCCTATAAGTCATTGCAATAATCATAGTATAGTCATAATTTTGGTTTTAACCATGTTTTATTCTGATTCGTTAATAAATTGCTATCCATTTTCCTTTCTTTGAAATTCACAGATAACGCATGTTTGAACTATTTCGATATCGGAGACTGGTTGCTTTCATGTAATTTCTCGCGTTTTATAATCGGTTCATCTCAAGATTGAGAGACTTTGTCAGTTTGATTATATTTTCGTCTATTTACTTCGGAATTTGTACTGATGTTAACAAAACTTCATTTTGCAATTGAATACATTTTCATTTAATTTCACGTAACGTTACTTTTACTATCGAAGATAGTTTCACTACGAAAGATCAACTGAGACAGATTACATTTCACTGTTGTTACTGCGGGTATTTTCACTGTCAGTGACGGAGATAACTTCACTTCGACTGACCAAACTGGACTGAATTATTGTAGATTTCGTCCCCATATCTATAGTGTGAATAATGATGCAATAATGTGAACACGTGTGCGCCTACGTGACTGTCTCCACGTGTCTCGATATTCTGACCCCATTAATCATCGACAGCAAATTAGCGGTGAAAAGTTTCATGATCATTACACCAATGCCGACAATTAATATCTTCATCGTCAGTCGGCGAACATGTGGTGTTCGCTCAATCAAGCTAATTGAGCTCGGACGATGGTGCGGTTCACTTTACGTTAATTGATTAATCTTATTCTTCTCCGGGCCTACCTATTTTAATTACGATGTCTGATTTTCTGGCTCGGCACACGTGTTTTTTGGCCGAAAATGATTGATGATATTGAAAATTTTGTCAACAACTGCAAAATATGCCAAAAAATTAATCCTCCAATCATCAAACTCAATCTCACACCCATCACTTCAAAACCTCTCGAATTTATCCATATCGATTTATTCACGATATTGAACGAAAGTTTTTCATTAATTAATGATTCATGTTCTCGACATGGTCAATCATAACCCTAAAAGCCCTTATCGATAAACTAGTTCTTAGAACCCTTCCTAATTTCATTTCACATCATGGGTTACCGCCAAAAGTCAAAACTGACTCTGGTACCGAGTTCAAAAATGAGGAACAAAATAACTCCTGTGAAGCATTTCGAATAGAACTTCATTATGCAACACCGAAATCAAGCAATTCAGATATCCCTTTAGGAAGGTCTCACCCAACTTTGATCGAATATTATCGATGTTTGAATGGAGAACACAAAAATATTCCTCCTGACCAGATAATGGAACGTACCCACCTGAGATACAATAACTCAATTCATAGTGTCACAGAATCCACCTTGTTCAAAGTAGTGAAAGGCCAAACCAATAATACGAATCCTCCCAACGTCAGTGATTATAGCATCATTTCGGACTACGTTGAACCCCATCTCTTAAGATTCAACTCAATTATCAGCGTACAAAGTTGATTCAGTTTCAAAATCTCATCCGAGAACTGATCCAATTTATGGAACAGATGAACCAATGAACCAAAAGAATTATAGATAGGAGAAATGAAAACCGAGATGAACTCTCCGATTTCTTCAATCAACAAGTAGCATATATTAGGATTAAAGCACGAAAAAAGATCGACCCAATTCAATGAAATCACCACTGTGTTATTATTCGATATATTCTGTATTCGAGTTCATCAGATCCACTATTCATAATCGATTTTCCACATCAACAGAATGCTACGACATCATCGAATATTGATATGAAGATCGACTTTGAAACCAGAAAGACCTTATTTTCTATTAATACTAAAGTATGTGCATTCATTTTGCATGATGTTTTTTTGGCAAACAACGCACTGGATGACTACTTTCAGAGCTTATTACAGTTGACACTTATTACATAATTGATACTATTATATCGTTGTTATTATTTTTCCTGCTCTGCATCTTCACTTGTGTCAATCAATATTCTACTTCATTTTCATC